CCGCCCTTCTACAGGAGAAGAAGGAGAAGAAGGAGGCCAAGAAGAGGGCCTTGAAGGAGGAGCAGGCGGCCAAACTGAAAAAGATGGAAGAAGAATGGCCAGAGAGAAAGAGAGGTTGAAAAAGGAAGAAAAAAAGAAGCTGAAGGAGGTGGATGAAGAAGAGGAAGGACCGCCACTGCAAAGGAGTAGTGGGCAGCCCAGTAGTAATACCGGTGGAAACCTGGAGAAGAGGATCTCTGAATGGGTTGCCAACCTGATTGTGGGAGAAGAGGAAGAGGTTAGTATGTACATCCCGCAGGATCAGCAAGAAGCCGCCATGAAGGCTTGGGAGGCAGAGAAAGACCCTTTGAAACGTCAAGCGTTGTTATGTAGCGATGGTGCCCTCGTTGGTTACGCAACGATAAGCAACTCTTCCTATCTTGGCACCCCGAAAGGGTCCCGACTCTCGACCTAATCGACCCCAATGACCTTCCCTCCAGCTAAACCTCTCCGGGCGGCCGACCCTTCAAGACTTAACCTTTGGTAAGCCATGGTCCCGCTGCCAGGTTGCGCCGGTCAGCGGCCCTCGCTGGGAATTAGGTTCTACAGCTCCAGCGATGCTAAGTATAGCCCCTTAGCTCGGCCTCACAATACGTCCCTTAGACTTACCCATCGTGGTCTGGCGCTTTCTCTCACAATAATACTCAAAGGATCACGTACCACTGCCCACGGGACTACCTGGAGGGGTAGTGCCTTTCTTAATATTCCAACAAAGATCCTCAGAACTTCCACAGGGTCGTGCCTCCCTTACTTTGATCAAAAGCAGGTAAGGTCACACGTCTTCCAGGGATACTCACAATACCTTTCAAAGTTTCAGCATAACTGCCAGAGATTTTCATCCACGAGTCTCACAAAATATCTGGTCTTTCCTTGTCAGACTTTTACATACATACAAACATTATCATCACTTATAGCGACTCTTTTGAGCGCTCTCCCAAAATTTCATCCTGTTAAGAGAGTCCAATCGGCCATTGGACTTCCCTCTTTCTTTTTCAATCATACACAAAAACACACAACTTTTAGTTGTGACCTTTCCATTCATCATTATCTGGGCAAAATACATCATGTCATCATTGTCTCCATAATCTGAGAACACTTCCTTCCATTATACTCCTGGCTTCACTTGTCATGGGGACAGGGAGGCGTAAGTACAGTGGAAGAAACGCAAATCAGTTCATTCCACAGTATTCATCTCATCACGCCATCGTCCATATGGGCAAGTCCACAAACCGAGAGTGAGTGTGACACACCACACACAACACAAAGACAAGGTTTGAGACTCGCATGTACACCCAAGACATGGGGCCCCGCACTGTGCAAAGGCACCCGTCCTTATTATAGAACTTAAAATATTATACAAGGAGTTCAGGTATCCCATAAAGAATCAAGGTAGTCAAGCGTCGAAGTATCGGAACTCGACGGCCGCTCCACACTCATGAGCGTTATTCTATAAGGACGTTAACACTCTACATCACATTAGCGAAAAAAAAAGAAAAAATCGTCAATGTCATACTCAGCGTTATCTTATGTACAGGAAAAGGTTCTCAAGTCTATAACACGGCGTAACATCTCACTACTGGCTCAGTCTACTGATGTACATGGGTCTGATCCAAYCCTCCACGTATCTCTYYATATAYAAGTASTCACCAGTCTGTGAGTYWGAGAAGTCCCGCACATGTCAGACTCAGACCTTTCCGRACCTTATTGGAAAATCCTACTCCTGATCACTCATGACCTCCTGCAGCTGCCTATACAACTGCGCCCTCACCCCATCACGAGTCTTAGGAACTAGGTTTCCATCTCTATCTCTCCATACCCCAGACGATTCCCTGGTACACAATCCATCTGCCCCATCCTTGAGGCTCTTGGGGCAGTCGTCTGATCGATGTTTGCCCCTCTTGCAATAAAAGCACTTGCCAAATTTCTTTTGGGGCATCTTCTCTCCTTCCAGCGAGGGTACAGATGACGGGGTTGTTGAGATCTTGCTTGTAACCTCCTGTCGTGGGACCTCTGAGGAAGCGGGGCAGGCCGCTTTGTCATCTGCTGGCATCAGCTGCTCACCAACCCGTCGCTCGGCCCAGAACTCGTAGCCCAAGATCCCTGTACACCCCGCAAATCTGTAACAACTGGCACCTCCTGAAGCATGATTGACTCCTGACAGTCCCTCAGGTCCACTCTCTGCTCAGTCTCAGCCATGGTCTGGCCCACACTTTCCTGACCCTCCTGCTGTCCCACAGTCTCTTTCCGAATAGTAGGTGGAGCCTCCTCAACTCTCATTGCCTCAACCGGTGGTCCCTCCTGTGGTACTGCCGGCTCATGTCCCCGTGTCAGGCCAGCAGGTAACCTCCACTCAAACTCTGCGACCTCGGCACCCTTTTCCACAAGCACTCCTGGTTGCTCCAACATCTCTTTGTCGATCAGAGGGATCTCCTCACCCTCCTGCTGGTCAGCCTTCTCTATTTCCTTCTCCCTCTTGAAGACTTCCTCGACAGGCTGTTCCCTGATTTCGAACTTTTGGACCTCTGTCCAATCCATCACTCTAGTGGGGGCTTGCTGGGCACACTTGGCTTCGAGGTCTCGAATTCTTTTCTCCCACTCAGTCTCCTTAACCTGGAAGAAGGTTATTTGTGCACACAAATAGGCCCTCAGAGCGTCAGTGACCTTGTTAAGGGTCTGATTGACTTGTCTGACGACCTCATTCTCTGTTGAGACTCTCTCCATGTCTGCCTTTACTGCTGCCAACTCTTTGCCCTGTCTGTCTAGTTCTCTCTTCGGGTCCCCAGCCTTTCTCTCCCAGTCCACCCTCTGGCCATAAGCCTCTTGTGCCACCTTTGTCAGCCTGTCCCCAATCTTCTGATCTGAGGTCCTTGCTGCAGCGAAGCCTTCTCTCATCACGCTCCTTAGGTTGAGCAGGTCTGTAGAGACCAACTTAACCCCCATCTCCTGATGTTGTCCACCTGATCTTCCTGTGGCGTCCATCAGCTTATCAAAGCCCATCCAGACCTCTGAGAAGAGAGGAGGGTCCTCCTCCTGAGTGCAGGTACCCTTTCCTTTTCTGTCCTCCACCTCCTCAGGCGCCTTTCCTTGCTGCATCCTCTCATGCAGTTCTGCCAGGTTCTTCTTTCGGAGTTGAGTCCTGATCTCCAGCTCCCTTGCTGCCCTCTCTTCTCTGTCCAGCTCCTTTTCATCAACAGACGGTTCCTCCCTCAACTCTTGCGTATGCGGCTCGTGAGGGATGTCTGGCTCTGCGTCAGGCATGGGGCCATCCATCTCCCTCTGAGCAGGTTGTGGAGGTGCATCTGAACCATCGGACCCTTCTGCTCTCTCATGTCGGTGGGACTTGTGTTCCTTCCTCCTTTCCTCCCTCTGAGCCCCTGGTGACGCGCCCTGCTCAAAGGTTCCCCTTGCCTCTGTCTCAGGTTCCCTTCTCTTTTTTTCCACACCTCTCCTCTCACTTGCCTGACGAGCTGGAGTATAATAGTTCCATAACAGCTTCTTGCAGTGGCCCCAATTCATGGCAGATGCCACCATGGATCGTACGAAGGGTCTGATATGGTGTCTTACAAACAACAGGAAGCTCCCCACTCTCTGCTCTCCTGGGATACAGAGCTCATCCGCATATCGATCATAAGCCCATAAGAACTCCCCCAGATTAGTGGAGTCGAATCGAATGGGCTGTCCATCCCTTCCMAGTGGTGACGRATGCAARCCCTYCATCCTCCGTCCAAAGTCTTGCCAGCTCAGCGACTCTCTGACCAGTTTAGCAAYAGGGTCCGYCCACTCGCCTGTGCCTCGCACCTCTCTCAACATCCTGGTGCTGTCCCATYCAAACTCTCTYGCATGCYGCTCGAACTCCATCAGGAACARCTCAATGTTCCCTCCCTRGAAGACTGGAGGCCTGTCCTCTCTCYKGGTCCTCATYTGCGTCCTYTGTCGGRTTGCCCCCAAAGGGGTTTCCACTGGCCCTGCCCCTCCCCTCCCTCTTGGCATGGCTGCCCCAAGCGGTATCAAGCCTGCACAACAGGGAAGAGGCGAACAGAAGCACACAGAGGGTAAGCGATGTCAGACAAAACACAACAGGAGACAGACATAACCCTCCCACACCTATCTCAACTACCTACCTACACACACACAAGCATACATAGTCATACACAAATGCAAGTCTAACCACAACCTATCACACTATTCTACTGAGGGCAGCACCCGTAGTAGCCACTAGATGACTCTAAGTGGTGGGACCCCTGCTCACCTCGTCTCTAGCTACGAACTTCTTTAGCCTCGAGCCTGACACCCAGTCCTTCCATGTCGTCCCATTCAGCTCTTCGATTTGGTAGGCACCATGTTCACCACATCTGGTGACCCTGTAAGGCCCCAACCACCGCTTATCCAACTTCCGCGACCACTGCTTTTCCAGGGATGAGTCATACAACAGTACAACATCTCCCACCTTGAGAGGCTCCTTTCTCACTCTTGCCATCTTGTCCCACCGGAACTTGTCCTTGGTACGGCTGTCCGCGGTTCTACTTCCTGCTTCCTCAATCCTGTCCTCAATAGCGCCGATCTGTCGTGCCCTCAAATCCAGCAGTTCCTCAAAGGTCAGATCAGTCTCGAGGTCATGTCGCCTCCAGGTTTTCAGGAAGCTTTCAATGGGAAACGTCGCATGCCTGCCGTACCATAGCGTAGCCGGTGCATAACCAGTGCTCCTCCTGATAGTGATGTTATCCACGAAAAACATTGTCGAGCACATCGGCCCCCGCGCGAGCGAGGGCCCTCTCGGCCGTGTCACGCAGGAGAAACTTAGGCTTTCAACCTTTTAGAGACAACTCGGGGACGACACGGTAACTCGCATCGACCCTTCGCCGCTCCAGCCGAGTGCGCCAGTTGTACATCCCGCGGTCCCCTACGACAGGATAGGTTTTCGCGGGGCACATCTTACCTTCCCTAAGGGGCTGTCACCACCCTTAGGGGCGTATCCCTACCGAGCTACCGACCCACATGCGAAAGCTTTTATAATGCAATTGCAGAGGTAAGTCGGCCGAGGGCGTTTGCTCGTTCGCTGTAGCATAGGTACGCATGGTTGAACGCCAAGGTGGACCCGAACGTCGTCCGTCCCTGGGGCGCTGATCTCCCATAAATTGGAACGTACGCCGGTCGATTAGGACGTGATACTCCAAGTGTAAGAAAACCTCAATCAGTCCTAGTCCCTTCTTCCAAAGGCAATCAAAAGCTAAACATCAAATGAAGACTCAGGTCAACGTAAGTTCACATGTATTATGAGATCAACTTATATATAATACAGCCATGCATACCACTCGTCCCGATCAATTTGACAAGGGTTGATTTGACTTTCATCCAACGATGAGACACATGAGTTGACTCGCCTTCGGACCTCACTTATCAACAAAAGGACAAAGCATGACTTATACACGATGCGAAGCTCAAATGACATCCGACTAAAGTATCTAGACTCTACTTGTCAGACGGTTGGACTGTCACGACTTTTTTCGACTTGATGAGATGCGTTGCCGAGTCCTTTCATTCCACCGCATGTTGGCTGCAAGCAAAGAAATGCGGACATCCCAACCCTCAAGTAGAGTTAGGATCACACTGTTCTAGCAATGACATCACTACCTTTCTAACTTTGGTGTGAATGTCATTTGCAAGTAGTCCGACTACCACTATACGAGTCAGTATTTTACTTGAACGACCGAACGTTGAATGCCTCGTTAAGGTCAAGAATCCATTTTCAAATTTTGTTGGTCGCTTTGTCCTCCTGAGCAATGATTACTTTTTCTGTCTCACGAGTTATGAACTACCAGTCTGCGATATAAAGATATTCAAGGCAATGCTTTAGTTACATTTTTTTCGTCAACTAGTCTGATCGCCCCAGGCTTGCACTTCTTATGGCGCAACCCTATCCGCGAAGGTAGTGCCTCGTCGCACTCCGTCCATAGCTAGTGATCGCACGAATTGGGCTTCTTATGGCGCCAGTTCCTCACTCATTTGTGGCTCCTAAGACGGTCATTAGAAGGGTAAGCTATAGCGGTTCTTCTTAACGTGAGTCGTCAAGAACTTAACGCCTTCCGCGAATAGCACACGTCCATCCCCTAGGAGGTGGTATGGGATACCCCTCGTCCTCGCCCGGGCGAACCCCGGATCTCAGAAGTCGGGCTGGCTCCACCACGACAACATGGTATCCTCCCGCCTAAGCGGTCCACTCCGAGTCGTTAACAGGGTCGGCCCCTAAGGCAACAAACCCCCGCCTCAGATGCCTTCTAGGGAAAGGAAGTGCACTTACCACAGCAGACGGTCAGCCCTTTATCGCCTGACGTCAAGGCGAACCTAGACGAAGAAGGAGATCACAGAAAAGAAAAACATTCAGATAGACGGGCATAGATAGAGAGGGACATTCGGGCAAGAATGGGTAACCTCGGGAAAAATCTACGTCCAATTCATTTCTTCTCTTTTATGTGATCGCTCCGCTCCTCGTCGTTTGCTGTCTTCTCATCCTTTCAACATGTATGCAAGCAAAAAATAGAAAACAATCATCATCCCATTCACTTTCGCTGACATGATTAAACCTCCATTTTCCAAGCATCCTTCTACTTACCTGCACATGAGATCAAACAACAAGTTCAAGAGAAAACAATGCAATCCCAAACTCATGTCAGACTTTCAGTCACACGTGCAAACAAACACAACTTCCCCTACCTTTCCAGTGAACATTAAAGGAACAGGGTCAAGCAAGTGTGGGCTCACACAGGTGTGAAGCGGTCTGMGTCAAACAACTGACCTTGAGTGAAGTTGAAGTGGCTCACTCAAGAAAGCCTAATATTTTTGTCAAAAGACAGATCACACAACTCACGTTGTGGCCCGCTTACAAAAATAAACCATGCTCCTCTTCAAGTGCCACCACTGACCCAGTCGCCGCTTATCAAGACAAAGCAAGCTTGCAGTCGAGAACAGTACCCCCACTCTCAAATCTCACACGGCCGCACTATAGTCTCAACGGCATACCTCCTACAAAGAACAGCGTCAGCTCAATCTTCACTCCAACCCCCACCGATTGCCAAGTCAGATCACCGCACGCCTCCACAATACTCATTTCCCGTCTCACTCCTCACTCACTTGGTCCCAGAATGGTCCCAGATAGTTCCACACCATCGCCGCAATACTGGGTGGTCCCAACTCAAACCCCTCTTGCCCAACATGCCATAAAAAAATTAGTCTCGACCAGCCTTTCAGGTGCCGCATGCCATTGGCAGCGTTTCCGCACAACCACCGTCGACCCTAATGCTGCTGCCGCAAAATTTCGACAGCGCTTCCGCACTACCGCTAATAAAAGCACCGCCGTCGCCGTGCCAAGCGGACAGCACCTCTTCTACAGACTTCAATGATGGATGCCGCTGCCAAAAAAGCCATGCAGCATCTCCCCTATACCGCCAGCCGAGCCCCTGCCGCAGCCGGGCAGAGTTTCCCCCTGCGCTGCTTGCACCAAGGTGGCGACTATGGCAGCCTCCACCTCCCCCTCCCACTCCTTGCAGACTTCCTCCTTCGCCAGCAGCTCCAGCATCTCCACCAGCAGCACCCAGCCAGCATTCACTCAAGTGAATGCCTCAGCAGCATTGCCACAACTTGTGAGGCTGCTGGGTGGACCGCTGGCTTTAATAGCCAGCCGAGAACATGTCGGCAGCTACTTTGCCCACAGCCAGAACTCGGAATGAGGCCTGGCCCTTCATCTAAAACGCGATCAAGGGCTGCAAAACTTGATGTTCCCCTAGGGGAACGAAGTTCAGGCCACTGGGAATGCATCTGGCTATCACCCGCGGCCAGACGCACCCCAGAAATGGCTGTACTTAACCATTTCTGAGCAGATTGTTGAAACCAACAGTCTGCTGCCCTATCAAGGTCCAGATGCTTCTGGACCTTGCACCCGGACAGAGGCCACGGCCAAATCCGCGGCCCTCCTTTTTTTTTTCCCAACCTCCTCTTCTTCTTCTTGTCTTTTTCTCTTTTTCTCTTTTTTTTTTTTTTTTTTTTTTTCTTTTCCTCTCTAAGGCAGGGGCTCGTCGTTCGAAAACGAACGAGCACTTCCCCCCCCTTCAAAGTCGTTTCACAGAGTCGTACTAGGGTCAAGCTCAACAGGGTCTTCTTTCCCTATTGCCCCCGCGCGCCCGTACCCGGACGCCTACAGCGCCAGGTGCAGGCGGCGGCCTGCAGCCCGTTGCTCAGCCAACGGGCGCAGGTAAGTGTCTCTCTCTCTCTCTCTCTCTCTCTCTCTCTCTCTCTCTCTCTCTCTCTCTC